CTGCGGCTAATGACTTTCAATTAATTAATCACGTGAAACACTGTGGAAGGACATTAAGAGCTGGGCGTTGAAAGCAGATAATAGAAAGCACCCCTACCGCCACTACTTTTACCGCTATCTCTTTCTACAAAGTCACCCTGACCATCACACAGTGTATACCATGTTTTAAGTATATACATATTGAGTTGTTAAAGCTTATACAAAACTTTTGGTGAGGTAATATTGCATACTGTAATAATATGTTATGTTATAAATAAAATGTGTGAAAGTTATGATTTTGTGTGTTACTTATCATAGCATCCACCCACGCATTTCCTAAAGTTCATATCCCACACAAAAGAGGGGACCGCAACTTGTTTTTCTATAATATTTTTATTCTTGTAGGTTCATAAAGCAAAATTAGTCTTTTTGTTATTGTTGTTGGAGTCAGACTTATATCAATATATATATATATAGAAAAACACATAAATATTCATGTTTCACGTTAACTAAGAGACTTTGGGTAATGACCTATAGCCGTGTGTACCTATTTGATACATCGCTAGAAGTATACATGTTTAATAATACCTGAATTAATGTAGGCGTCGGAAACAAACTTTAATTCACTTGCTTAATCTGGTTCACATCATGACAACAATTGTTCATGAAAAGTGATTATATACATGGCACCTGAACCACTACTATGACTGTGGAATTTAAACCGGCCGGATGAGCCTTTGTATTGGGCGAAAAGCCTCGTCGGCACTGGATTCATAGATGTAATGTGGTTAAAATATGGATTCCAAGAATTTATGTGGAAAGGAAAGTTGAAAATTTTTGTTAATATTTTACATAAGATCGTCTCAAACTTGATTAAAACCAAAAACCCGTATTGTTGATTTATTTTACCAAGTACTACAAATATAGCTATTCATATGAACGTCTTACTATTGGATTTTAACCTCAGTAACAGCATGAAATATGGAAGCGGTGTCGCCATCTAGTTCATTATTATCGTACTACGAACTGAAAGAGAGAGAGAGAATTAGTTTTATTACACAAAAAGAGAAATTAATATCCTACTTTTTATAGTTTGTCGTCTTTAAAAATATAAGTTCGTGTACAAAAAGCTCTTTTATAGGTATAAAACATTTTGTTGCAAAGTAAAAAGTTAAAGTACATAGCTATTGATAATATTGATAACCTAAATATCACATTGTTTGTTATTCTTTGTACCTCTTAATCGTTTTCCTCTTTTCACTTCATCCCACGAAATGTCATTACATCCAAGTAAAATGTTTGAAAGGACGTTTCTTTCAGTGTACTAGTCAACAAATGTAGCTAGCTGGACAAGGAAACACATACGAGCAAAAGATAAAACATTAAGACAGTTTTAAAACGTGTATTACTGATTTTTCATCTGTACTCTACTTACGAAATTGTAGTAATATTTCCCTTTTTTTACCCGTATAATTCTTTGAGCTCTGCTAAACCTCCTCTTTAAAACTATATAATTAAATGAAGCTTCCTCGATAAGCATTGGGGCTTATAACGCTAAAGTTCTGGGTTCAAGCCCTGCGGTAAGCTCAGCTATCTCTGAACTGTTGAACTTTGTTTGTTTTCTGAAATAGAAGCAAGTGCTTATCAACCAAGGTGCGTTATAAAATGCTACAGAATTCAAATTTAGAAATTAAGAATTTTGTTATTAGTTTAAGAAATAACTCAAATTTTGAAAGCTGATTCCACAAATTATAGATGTACGTTTGCCCGAAATTTGTAATCTGAGTTAAAAGTCAAAATTTTATTATAAAAAAGTTGTTTCAGTAGAGATCAATCTATTGAACTTAGTTCACAGTTTTCCAAATTTTTGTTTCAGTTCAATTGTATAGTACTAGAAATGGTCTTGCATAAGTAAATACTGACGTGAAACCCCCCTAGTGTGGCTAGCTTAAAAAAAACGGAGCCTTTTTAAAAGTATAAAAGGGATAGAAAAACTGCACTGCTTTGCTGAATATAAATTCAATAAATGTTTTTAAAAATTGATGTAAACTTGTTGGATAAGAATGTATTTGTGTATTTCAAATTGGTTTTCGTGAGTTACGCTCTCATTAAGTAACACACTTCTAAGTCCCCAACATGACAAAATATCATTGTGCACGTGTCTATTTCCACTCTCATTTGTTACTTAAGAATATCAGCAGCATTTGCTGAAGCCCAGATCTTCTCCTAATCTATCTCCTGTCGTGACTAAGATCCGATGCTTTAAATTTAGAAAAGTAATCACTCCAAAAGTATCGGCGACTTGACCAAAGCATAGAGAGAACATCTCAAAATAGACTCCATTTTTATCACGAGAGCTAAATTGAGTAGAGCATCTGTTTCATCAGCAGTCAACCAGCACGAACGCTGGGCTAAAGAAAACTTGTTTTACTACCATCTACCTACTCAACTTCACAAGTTGTCACACATTAGCTCTGAATATACTGCACTTGCATTCTACGTTGTTTTCTCCTCACTTCCTGTCATTATAGTCTAAAATGAGTGTGCTTGTTTTTTAAGCGCACTTAGGTGCTCACCTCTGTTATTTATGAAGAACTGCGTAGTTTAAGTTAGAACTTAACGATTCTTGTTGCACAATAATTACATGTTTCTTCAAAGAAAGGGGCAGCCGTTCGAGTATTTCTGCTTAATGATATCAAATTGTTGTGTATGATTCTACCAACTTTCTGTCCCCTGGTGGCTCACCGGCAAAATTCGTGGATGAATTCCCGCTACGAACTGCGCCATGGCTATTGTAGCTTTCCGCGTCATTTGTTTCTTATAGTTTAAATACTAATATACAATCTTTCTTAATTTAATTATATATACTTTTTATCTCTACAAACTAAAATCTATTACAGTGAAAACATACGTACATAATAAACATGTAACTTGAAATAATAATGTATTTTGTTTGAATATTTAATACACTTTGCTATGCTCGCATTATTACAACTTACTACAGGGACAATTAGGAACTCTAAATTGAGAGTGTTGACTTTAATGATAAATATCTCTCTGACGGATAAAAACCAAAGAGAAATGCCTGTTTCATTAAGGAATTTCTTTAATTAAAAAAAGGTTCTACTCATCACTCCAAGTAAAAATAAAACTATTTTATATCTAAATCTCGTTGACGACAGCGTTACTTGTTATAGCGCATACATTTTGTTTATTTTAGTCGAATTTATTTTATGCGTTTAATAAAAGTTAAAATAACTCTTATGTTCACGCATGCAAGTTTCTAACAGCGTTTCTCGGCATATACTAGTTTTAAATTTAGTTTTACAACTCCAGGAGAGGCTGAGAATGGCACATTTTCAACTAAACAACTATTTAGTGTATTCCCTGAACAAAGTTTTAGCATACGGTTTCAGTGCCGGCCATCATATGACTACAAGAAATCGTTTTAGGCAACGCAAAACATTTAGCAATGAACTGTTTAGTTTCTGTGCAGCATCTGGTTTTATGTTGAACAGCCTGTCTTTAGGCAAATAAATAAAAAGGACCATATGAAACAGCAGTGTGCATAGATAAGAATGACTGAAATCAAAATTACCTCAGAATTATAAACAGTATGAAGCTCAGTATACCTTGACATTTCTTTTATTGTCTTGCCTTTATATATAAATTCTTTTAGAAAGAAATAAACTATGCATGTATTCATACAAGAGTCACAAACTTGACTCGTTTGCAATGCCCTTTCCACCAGTGGCTCAGTGATAAGTCAGTAGGCTTATTACGCTAAAAACCGTGTTTCGTGGTGAGCAGGTCACAGGTAGCTCATTATATAGCTTTTTGCTTAACAACCAACACTCTTAACGCTAGAATCCCAATCTAAACAAAGAAACAATGTCTCTCGTATAGCGGTGATAGAAATCTAAAGTCAGTTTTCATGTTATTTCTAAAATGTGTTAAAATATCACCAAATATTTAACGTATTTAAAGTTCAAGAAAAACGATATCTAGTTCAGTTTTGTGTTGTTAATAACACGAAAAGAAGGGCAGAAAGCCAAAATGAGAAATATCGGTGAAAACCACAAAAATTAAAGAAGTTAGCACTAACAAAAAGCCAACTAAGACAAGATAACTTGCAAGGTTCCACGATCCAGTCGGTTGTTGTTGTTTCCGCCTAAAGCCTTGTTAACAAATACATAAAGGGGACATATAATTTTCATGTTTAATAAGATCATCACTCTACGTCCTCAGAATGTAAAAATAAATCTTGCACAGAAAAGATAGGCTCGTTCGTAATTTGAGTAATTAGATTTCAGTCCCATGGTATTATTAAAAAATATGTAAAACATAATAAAAACCGTACGAAAACAAAACTGTAGTGTATAACGATAACACTAAATCTAAATGACGTGAAATAAATTAGTTGTATTTCAAAATTTGTAGCGCCTACTGGAGGGATTTACACATTTTGATAAAAAGTTTAGGAAAAAAAAACGACCGTTATACTCCAGATATATGTATAAACGATTTTTTTAAATTTTATTTTAACCAACGTTTCGCCTTTGCGGCTTCATCAGGGTTAACATACACAACTGTTATGAATATTAACCCTGATGAAGCCGCAAAGGCGAAACGTTGATTAAAATAAAATTATATCTATCTGGAGTATAAAGGTCGTTTTTTCTAAACTTTTTATCAAAATGTATAAATTAGTTGTACATAACAACTGAACCCGAAGTTTTAATAATTTTGTTACAAAATCAAATTTCTCATCATGTAAGTTAGTCTCATTTTCTTTTTCAGTAAGGATATCATTACGTTTGTAGAAACAGAATAAAAGAAGTCTTACAAAAATCTGGTTGCTATGGTTATATGATAAATATCACAAGCCTAGTACTATTGTCCTGACAAACCATGTCGACTTCCCAGCAACATTTTGAATTTGTATACTTATTTTACGCACTGAGCCGCTAAGTCTCATAATTACAATACTAGTTGTTAAGTAAAAAAAATGTCTTACTTACATTTCATGTGGTTCGTCTGCCGCTGGAAAAAAAAAAGAACAAATAGGTCTTAATTCCTTATTCATCAACTTATCTTAACAGATTTTAAACAACTGGAACCATACACAACGAGCGTTAAATAATTGAAACTATGTACAATGAGTATTATCAGAGTTTTTACATTATTGTAATTATCAAATGACATAATGAAAAACAACAAAACTATTTGTCGGAATAACATTTTTAATTACCAGAATATTTTTGGTAATAAAATTCAGTAAGTGTTTGTTAAAAATAAATTAAATTTTTTTAGTTATGCTATCAATCCGAAAATAATGATAAAACAATAAAGTAACTGTAGAAGAGGTCCATGTTAAGATTTTAAATCTAACAATAAAGTGACTGTAGAAGAGGTCCATGTTAAGATTTTAAAGCTAACAATAAAGTAACTGTAGAAGAGGTCAATGTTAAGATTTTAAAGCTAACAATAAAGTGACTGTAGAAGAGGTCCATGTTAAGATTTTAAAGCTAACAATAAAATGACTGTAGAAGAGGTCAATGTTAAGATTTCAAAGCTAACAATAAAGTGATTGTAGAAGAGGTCAATGTTAAGATTTTAAATCTAACAATAAAGTGACTGTAGAAGAGGTCGATGTTAAGATTTTAAAGCTAACAATAAAGTGACTGTAGAAGAGGTCGATGTTAAGATTTTAAAGCTAACAATTGTAGAAGAGGTCCATGTTAAGATTTTAAAGCTAACAATAAAGTGACTGTAGAAGAGGTCGATGTTAAGATTTTAAAGCTAACAATAAAGTGACTGTAGAAGAGGTCAATGTTAAGATTTTAAATCTAACAATAAAGTGACTGTAGAAGAGGTCAATGTTAAGATTTTAAAGCTAACAATAAAGTGATTGTAGAAGAGGTCAATGTTAAGATTTTAAAGCTAACAATAAAGTGACTGTAGAAGAGGTCAATGTTAAGATTTTAAATCTAACAATAAAGTGACTGTAGAAGAGGTCAATGTTAAGATTTTAAAGCTAACAACAAAGTGACTGTAGAAGAGGTCAATGTTAAGATTTTAAAGCTAACAATAAAGTGACTGTAGAAGAGGTCAATGTTAAGATTTTAAAGCTAACAATAAAGTGATTGTAGAAGAGGTCAATGTT